CCCCAAAACCCCAAAACCCCAAAACCCCAAAACCCCTTTAGGGAGTTATACAATTGGTAGGATTAATAGTATATAATATTTAGCAAAATGTCTTCTCGAAGAACGAACACAGGAGAAATTCAAAAGAAATCTACTGAGCCTTCCTATGCCCTGAACCATGATGGAGAGAGCGACTACTCAGAGCAAGGTCTCTCTAGACAGGATAATCGCTACTCTTTTAACACTGATTCTGACTCAACTAACTTTAGAAAGAATAAGCAATCTAATGAGATGAACCTATCCGATGATGAGCTGATGTTTGACAAGGAAGCTTTAGCCAAAAATCAGAATCGGGACTCCTTTAACTATATTAATCATAAGATCAGAGCTGCTTATGAAGGACCAAGTGCTAGTGAGACAGTTTTCCAACTCTTGGAGGATGAGGATGAACTTGCAATTTACGACTTTTTCAAGAATAGTTCAGTCGATATCACCACACTATTGGATTCAAGAGGATACACTGTTCTTCATATTTCTGCCTACAAAGGCTTGGAAGCTATTTGTGCAAGACTAATTCAAATAGCACAGGAAAAATCATGTTCCGGCCTAGCTGAAAAAGACAAGACAAAATAAGTTAAAAAATTGGGCAAATGTTAAAACGATTGAGGATGAATTCAGTGCTCTCCATATGGCTTCCTTTAGTGGCAAATTCTCTATTGTCAAAATGCTGATTGATATCAAAGCTAATATTTATGCAGCCAACAAGGATGGATTAAACATGCTTCATACAGCAGCCCAAGGAGACCAAGCTTTCATGTTATATTATTTTAAAAGTCTTGGTTTAAATATCAACAGTAAGGATAATAGAGGATCAACTCCTCTACATTGGGCTTGCTTCTCGAAATCAGAGATCGCTATTAGTTATCTCCTTGCTTGGGAAGTGAATATTAATGAGCCAGATCAAAGAGGATTAACGCCTCTTCACCTTGCTGTTAAGGCAGTTAACGATCTTAATACTACAAGGCCAGTTAGGGCCCTTCTGATCAGTGGAGCTTCCAGAAAAGTTGAAGACAAAATTAAAAGAAAGCCCATTGATCTAATTGACGAAGTTGACGACCCAAAACTTCGGGCTGAACTCAAGGAGATCTTGAAGACTCCTTCTTCATTTGACTGATTGATGCTGAAGACACCATTGAAGAAGGTGAGGAAGAACCCTATGCAGATTATTTTCTACATGTTCTTCTTCTTAGTTCTTAATTCTGTTCTTTTCTTGTATATTTTTCCAGCAACACTTGATTATAGTAGGCACCATTTCATGATGTACGGACTCGGATCTATCGGAATAATTGCTCTTTTGTTTTTAATATGGTGTTCATGTATAAATCCAGGATTTCTAGAAAAGCCAAAAATTGATTTTGCGACTTTGCTTGATAAGCTTGATCCGACTATGCTTTGTCCCGAATGTGAAGTCATTCGTACCCCAAGATCTCGCCACTGTAGTATATGCAACCGTTGTGTTGAGAGATTTGATCATCATTGTCCTTGGATAAACAACTGAGTTGGAGTCAAAAATCACAGATCGTTTATGGCATTCCTGTTCTTTACCGAACTCTCTCTAATTTTGGTGATAGTTTACACTGCTCTGCATTTTAACGATTACAATCTTGATATGCAGGCTAATTATGAGCAAAGTGGAGGACTTTGGTTGTACTTCATTCCAAAACATTTTCCAGAGTCAATGTTCACTAGAACTGCTGTCTTCTGGGTCAAGATAGGCATCTTTATCTTTTGAGGAGTGTTCATCTTACCGTTATTTTTGTTGCTTTTTGTCCAAGTCAGAAATTTCTGTGCAGCCAAGACAACAAACGAGAGATTTTCTAGACGGAAGCCTGCAAAAGAGAACTCAAATACCATAATAGAGAGCACCTCTAGCGACTCTATAAATGGAAATCTTTTACATGTTGACGACACAGAGGCTCACAAACCCACCAAACAATACCATCCCGAATCCAATGGCAACTGCATCTCCAACTGCTGGGAGATGTGATGCAGGAGCAAGATGGATAACCAGGATGACATCTACCTAGAACACGTCAACAAAAACTAATCTTTTTATTCCTAGAAATTTGATACCTAGTCACATTCAACTTCCTATATACCTCTAGGGGTTTTGGGGTTTTGGGGTTTTGGGGTTTTGGGGTTTTGGGG